CAACCACAATCTCACTGCCACCACCAGCGCCGCCAGCACTGCCAATGACACCACCAGAGCCACCAGAACCCTCCGCCCCATCGCCAGCAGCGCCCTCGTCCATCGTGCCAGTGTTGCCACTGTCGCCATTGCTGCCGCCGTTGCCGTTGCTCGGGGCTGGCCGATGGGTCTTGGACGAGGCCGTCGATGCCGATGAGAGTGGGGTCAGTGAGCAGGTCGGCGAGCCTGTTTGTTTGCACCCTCCGTGTGTCGGTGGGGTGTGTGTGTGTGTGTGTGTGTAAGGGTACCAGAGGAGTCTTTCTCTTGTGCAGCTGCACCGGAAGCAGCGGAAGCAGCGCTCGACGAAGCCGAAGCAGAACCAGCGGCAGCAGCTGCAGCCGATGTGGGTGTGGAGGTGGGCCTGTCCCCGTCAGTGAGTGCCAGGATGGCGGCGTGCTGGCACCCCAGCATCAGCTCGTCGGCGAACATCTTGGGGTTGAGGCCGAACGAGTCCCACTCGCCAACACCGTCAGCCACACCAACGGCACCACCGCCTACACCCACCCACACACACACACATGGATGGATGGATGGATGGAGGGGTGTGCCTACCGGCGATCTCGCATATGAAATACGCGTCGGCACCGCCCGTCTCGACCTTCTCGGGGTGAGGGATCCTGCACACACACACACACACACACGCACAGAGAGGGAGAGAGAGATGAATGGATGGATGGGTGGACGGCAGTGCGTGTCTGGTGTGGTTGGTCTGGGGGGTGCAAGAGACAGACGCACATGAAGGCTCCCGCAATCAGGCGCAACTTGGTGCTCAGACGGGCGTCCTGCAAACAGACACACACACACACACACATATACACATACACACAGCACTCATGTGTGTCGATGGACAGTGACAGTGCACCTACGGGCATGTGCAGGTCGATGAGCACTTCGGGCGGGTGCAGGTGGCCCGTCACCGACTCCGGCCACTGGTGGTTCAAAGACCTGCAGACCACAAGACCATAACGCACACAGCAACACACCCCCATACATAGAATGTGCTGTCTGTCCGCAACAGACAACGAGCACTTACAGGGAGGCGACGCGCCTGAGCCGGTCCTCACGCAGGGAGAGGTTCGACGGCTGGTACGCGGAAGGACACCTATACACGCACAGAAGACACACACACACACACAATCAAGCTCCTCTCTCTATGTCCACACACCCACGCACCTGGTGATGGCCGCCTTGTCGGCATCTCCGCCAGGGAACAGCTCATCGTCGCGGTTCTGGGCGTGCTGCTGTTGCTGGTGCTCGATGGCGTTGTCGTACGTGTTGGCCCGAGACCGCGTCAGTGCCTGCAGCCATCCATCCATCCACACCGACACACACACACACACACACAGAGATATAGACACTGTTTGGGCGCTGTGTCTGGGGTGTAAGTACGTTCAGAGGGCTGGGCGGGGCGAGAGAGCCGCGGAGCCTGCACACACACACACACGCACACACAGTTTTGCTGTGGGCCGGGGTGGTGGGGGGGGGAGGCTGCAGACGTACCCGAGTGCGTCAGTGGTGGCCACGGCCGACCATCTGCGCAGACCTCCCGACGTTCTTCGGAGCCCCCCAGCAGTGCCCGAGCTCGAAGCTGCACCACCCGCATTCGGCGTACCCACAGACGCCCTGCACACACCAACACACACACATGTGTGGGCCGCAACGGTGCTGGTTTGGTTGACTGACCGTCTTCGGGCCCATCCCTTGCCCTGCAGTTGGAGCGGCTCTATGTCTAAGTCGGTCTCCGAAGGGCCCTCATCGTCAGCAGCGGCAGCACCAGACGCAGAGGCAGACGACTGACCCTCCTGCTGCCGATCCTCATGCTGCTGCTGACGCAAGGACACACACACACACACACACAGAGAGAGAGAGAGAGAGAGATGGGCGAGTGCGTGTGAGTGGGTGCGGTTGTGCGGTTGTGTGTGTGTGTGTGTGTG